TCATCTTGTCTTCATAAACTGTTTGTTGTTGTTGTTTTAAATCAAAAGCATCAGAGTGTGGCCGATCAAATCGGGACAGTGTGGGAGCCCAGTAACAGAGCTACACTGGCAGGAATATTGCAACTAATACTGAAAACCTATAGCAGAAGTTCACTTGATCACATGCTTTGGGAGTGCTGCATCTTCTCAAAAGGACTGTTAGCAGCTTTGTGTGTTGCATTTGGAAGGACTTGTCTAGAAAGGGATCCTTGTACAGGTCCTCTGTTTCAGCTCAGGGAGCTAGGTTTTCCCCTTCTTTTGCCTTCTGTCCAAGAAATGCTGGTATTACTGCAAAAATAATTGAGGAGATGAAATGAGTATAACACAAAATATGCAACCAACAGATCTTATGCTGCTGCCATTTTAGCATCTGTCTTTTTGTTTCTCTCTGAACTTGTCACTTCAGCTCATCTGCAGCTTCTGTTGCTTTAATGTGTTAATCAGTATGTACTTCAGTTGAATTGTATTTCCTTCCATAAATGTCACTATTTCTGAGACCAGTTTTGACTATAGATGTGGGATGTGTTTTGTTTCTCTTTGTTATGAATAGCTTGCTACAAAGAAATGAATATCTGTGAGTACAGCAAAATTAGAGTTGTAATATGCCTCTGTAGTAAGGCCGGCTGTATCTGGAAGAGGATCTGAATGTTGCAGCCAACCAAAGATGATAGATATTTAGTGTCCAAAATAACAAAATCATCAAAATGATTGAATTCATAAATTTTGTCTAATTCCTTTTTATTTTGTTAAAGAAATGGAAAAGCTGATTTGTATTCATCTGTAGGTACACTTGGGCATCTGAAATGAGAAAGAGACTGAAGCTTATTTTAAATGTGGTGAAAATTAAGCAAATGAGGGTAACCAGTTTAATATTAGAGAAAGAAAGAGACAGAACATTGCAATAATTTGATTTTTATGGTACGTATATAGTGGCAAAAACTGATAACCTTGATCTGGGTTAATGGTGACCTGCTGAGACGAATAACACAATACATAATTCTTTTAGACCATTATAAAGTGGCAGTGGCTTTGTAATCCAAGATCAAGGCAAGAGAAGTACCGACTCCTTGGACAAGGGATCGCTAGCCTTCCTGACTACTTCAGGAAAGTGTCTGTGTTGCAGGGACCAGAGAACGTTTCAGTCTTTTATCTATATCTTCAAGATCTGAGGATGGAGAATCTTCAAAAAGTAGATCCTAGATACAAGAGAGAGAGAGAGCAACAGCTCTGTAGAGGCTTTATTGTCCTGTTGCAGGGGCTGAATTCTGCTATAATGTCACCATAATTCCTGAGTCATGGCATTCTGCTGTGGGCAGTGCTCTGGGGGCACGTCATCCCCACAGCTTGCCCTCACTGCCCCCCAGAACGTGACTGTCTCCCTCTTTTGATCATTCAGTTGCTTCTCTGCATTGTAAAGAGATAGAACTGCAGTTTTTAACTTTCTGGTGACCGATGCAGTTCCTATATTCCTGGGCAGATTAGCAAATTACAGTGAGACGAACATCAAAAGGAAGTTCAGTCTCAGAAAGGTTACAGGCAAGAATGCAAAGGACCTTCAGAGTTCAGACAACTACTGACCCAATGAAGTCACCTGGAGTTGCTTCATTGCTTACGGTATGACTTTAGGGGATTCTTTTGCTTATGTTTTTATGGTTTTGTTTTTCTTAAAGCAGAACATTCCATTTTTACCACAATGGAAGCTTAAAAAAAAAAAAAAAAAAAAAAATTTGTACTGTTCTGGCTGGACATGTGTTTCAGAACATTCATGTCTCAAACAAAAGGGTAAAAAAAAAAAAAAAAAAAGGAAAAAAAGAAGTGACCCAAAAGATAATAACAATTCCAAGAATCATTTTGCTCTTCTGGACTGAGTCCTGAAAAAACTTGCTTGTAAAGGCAGAATTTCAGGGGGAACTCCAACTTACAGTCATCATTGACTCACAACCCAAAAAATTGTAAATAATGAATTAAGAGAAGTTTAAGAAATATCTGCACATGGATTCTCCAGTCTTTGTCTTATAGCATCAGCTTTTCACATTTGGAGGTCCTCCTCACTGTTGTAAAAGAGCTACACAAAAATCAGAGGAAGCAGTGAGCTTGAATTGCGTTTTTGATAACAACTTGTGTGCAGTTCACTGGGGTGCAGGGAAGGAGCAGAAACAACATAATTATGTTTTCACCTCTATCATCCTCTGTATATTAACAGAAAAGAAATTGTTGATCACGTGTTTCCTTAATTGAATGCTATTGACAACTATTTACCCTTGAGTGCAGAGGCTAGGTGTACTTAGTTTTTACTGTCCCATGGAGTCTATGATTCCCTTAAAGGAAAATCCTGATCATTATTTTTTCTGAAACAACCTCGTTCTCCTTGCACAGCCACTTTAGTAATCATCTCTTGTGGCCTGATTGAAAAATCCAGTGGACCTGTAATGGGAGTCATTTCATTGACTTCAATAAGCTCTGGATCAGACCCATGGGGAATGAAGAATGACTTTCCCCTAATCTCTTAAATTCTTCTCCTCTCTCGTTCCAAATTGATTACAAAACTGGTGAAATGGAAGGAGTAGGTTTTTTTGATCTTGTGCTCTTCATCAATCTTCAAGTTTATTTTGGGCTATAAATTGCCCTAATCATGGATGCTTTCTTGTTTTTGTCTTACAGTGTTTAGTTGCAGAACACCAGAATGCATGTTTACTGCCCTTCTGCAGCTGCTGTTGTACCAAGATTGTTTATCTGCATAGTGCCTGTCTCTATGGCTTCTTAAGTATTTCACAATCAAAAAAGCTTGAAACTTTTTAGTAGAGTTTTCAAATTGATAAGAGAACCAAACCATAATGTTCTGGGAAGGAATCTGACACGCTGAAAAGTCTAGTTTATTTTCAACTTTTGTAAAACTGATGCTGAGAGCTAGCATAATAGCAATTTTCTGCAGCTGTGCTGTCTTGCAGCACTCCATGCTTCACTTCACTGCTGGTGCAGCACAAATGTGTGCAACAAATGGTTTGCCTAGAGGTGAATCCGTAAGACTAATAAGATAATACATACCGTGATTTTGTATAGTTGTATTATAGATCTATAAACATTATGCAGCCAACACTGTGTCATTGTGCAACTGAAGTAGTTTTTGATATGTATCACTACAACTCTCCAGTTCTGCAGTGTTTCCAAAGAGGTGCTCGGCTTACCAGGATGCATTGCTCTACCACTGCTGTGTAAGATCCCAACGCTTCACATGCTGTGCATTGTGGCATCCAACTGAAAAATTACAGAATTTTGAGGCTTGGAGTGAACTTTAAATTCCCATGATTCTTCTTATCACACATCCATCTCTTTTTGCAATCTAGCCAGCGCCAGTTTCAAAACATTGGCAAGCAATGTGATGCTCATGGTGATGAATACAAACAGTCTGTTGCAAGCATGTCTGAAGTCATGCAAAATTTTCAGGACCAAGGCAATAAGGGCAGCTGAGGAGGAACTTGACACCAAGCATACAGACTGCCACCCCCTACTGCAGCAGCCTTGTTCAGCAGTGTGTGGTCTGTCTTGGGCATGTGATGACTGGTAGTGGGTTCTTTTCTTAAGGCTGGTCAAGTTAAGGTAAGAGTCCCCACAACCAAAGTCCCCTTCAGAAGCGTGTTGAGAATCCCTTTGAAGGGCAGCAGAGGATTTGCTGCATGAAAGCAGTTCTCCCTTTGACAAGCAAGAGCATTGTGCTTCTTCATCGTGAAGCAAGCTACAAGTTAGCTGCTAGTTATCTGTGCTGAGTAGAACAACTGCCTGGAGGTTGCACGGGAGCTTTGTGAAGCTGTCACAAAGGTGTGATAAGCCGAGAAGTCTGTAAAAGGTACGTTCAAACCTGTGCATTTCTGAGTCCCTAGTTTGTTTGATTTGGATGGGATTGTTGCTTATGAGTGTAGTCTTCAGAATAACTGCATAAAGCAGAGCTCACAAAGCCCACAGTTGCTTTGAGAGGCTGGCCTGTATTAATGCATAAAGGTCTTGAAAAAGATCTCTTTTTGAAAAAGACACCCCTTGTGTCATGCTTAGCTTCTGATAGCCATGCATGCAACTCACTCTCAAGGCCTGTCTGGCTTTGTCCCTCACTGCTACTACAAAGGAGAGACAAGTTTGTTTGCTGTCTCCATGGCAGGCATGTCATCATCAGCATTTGCAGCAGCTGTGCAAGCTCTTCTGCACAACTTTTTCAGAAAATTAGGGCTGTAGCTTTATGCACCATAGGGGGTAGCAAGTTTGGTAGGCCTTGAAGGCAGACTTTTCCTGTAGTAGCTCAAAGCTCTGGACGAATGCTGCCATGACTAGACTATATTCAGTCATGCTCCTGCTTTGAGGATTAGGACTGCTTATGGAAAAATGTGCGTTGTGCTTTGTTTGGAACACATCCCACATGTTAACGTTGTTATGTATAGCCTCCATTCTCCCTTTAAGTGTGTGGCTGGAGTGGTGAACATGCAGAAATGCTTTATATGGGGGAGGGTTCATACTTTGTACAAAAAGAGAAGTTTTTTAATAATAAACACATTTTGTGTGGGTGTGTGGTGAGTTGTTTGTTTGTTTGGCTGTTGGTGGTGTTCTAAAGAAATTATTTGTGAAAGTTCATAACTGTTCATTCTCAGTGCATGTTGGTTACTGAGTGCTAGAAGTAAGCTGTCCTGCCACCAGAGAGACAGCATTAAAGGCTCTTCCTATGCTCAGGATGCTCTTTCCCCATCACCTCATGCAGAAATGCATGACAGTGGGCAGGCAGCAGCATACAGCATAACCCAGAAGAGGATGGCTGTGGAAGGTTGACGCATAAAGGATGCCCAGGCTGCAGTGTGCACTCTTCTGGTGAACTCCTAGTTAGCATCTGGGTCTCGAGGCAGACAGTCTGACTCTTCAACTTCTGCAGCCGCTGCATCTGTGGGACCACTTCTCTTTCCCCTGTTTCACTTCAGGAACCCTTTCGTCCACTGCTGTGTCTCTTTATTCGCCTCCTGGGATGTCCTTGTGAGCATTTCGAGCATGCCGTCATCTCTGGAGCTCTTCTTTTTCCTACGTAGATTGGATGAGTATTTGCTTAACGACAATAGCAGCCCTGTCCTTAGTTGCCATGAGTTGTCAGCTGTTGGGGGGAAGGAGAAAATGAGCTATTGTAAGAATGATGCTTTCATGCCAACTGGAACAAAGAGCTTGGGTTGTTGCCCCTTCCCCCTTTGTTTTAGCTTTCTGGTTTTTCCCAGTCTTGGAGACAGCAGGACAATTTCAAAATCCTCTGCCCCTGAAGAATTAGGGATATCACTACCTTACTAAGAGAAGTTTAGAAAAATTCAGTGCAAAGCAGACTAATATCTGCATCTGTTCTTACAGAGCATGTTGTGGCAAAGGGAAAACAATGGTACGTGCAGAGGCACGGTATTTTTATTCACACTGATACTGGCTGTCTGTACTTGAGCAGGTATCCATTTTCCAGAAGACACTGGACAAACTGAGCTGTTGCACTGGAGTGGAAGGACACCGCTGGCTCCAAGTGGTACAATCTGTGTGAGTCACTTGGAGAGATCTGGCTGCTGTGAGATTCTCTTCCCAAAATTAGATTTCCTTAAGGTTGCTCCTGATTTTTTGTTGTTGTTGTTTTACCTTTCCTAACAACTGAAGTCAGCATAAATTGCGCAACAAAATTAAGTGACTCAACAGTACAGAAAGAGATGAAACCCTAGTCATGCTTTGAATCATTTGTATTTTTGCAATCTCTGACTGATGGTGTTTTTTCAATCCTCAGTTTCTTTTTTGCTGCTATGGTTGGAGCGTGTATTTCTGTTTTGTTAAAATGTTCAGTGCTGCAGTCCTCACTTAGGTGACCGTGCAGGGTAGAGGTGAAGAGGGAGCGTCCAGAGGAAGATGGAATGAGCAGCTGGATGTGCGTAGCAGGGACTGATTAAGTAAAATGATAGTTCTCAATTTTCACTAAGTGAGAGACAGTACTTTTTCCAGCATGGCCACAGCTTAGAGTGAGAGATGTTGTCTTCTCCCCCTGCCAAGGGACAAACAGCAAATATGACCTGTATGAGTACAGAAGGGTACCTGGAGCCAGCTTGTCTAAGTGATACAGCTGTTAGGGCAAAAGGAGGAGTGACACTGTAGAAGGGTAGAAGCAGTCCCACCGTTAGCTCTGTGAGGCAGCTTGTTTCACTGACCATCACCATGGTCTCCATACTCTCTCTTCTCTGCTGAACATGCTATGGTTGGGAATTTCAGTGTGACGTTGGTCCTGTTTGGCTCCCTCATTACCTGCAGCAAGGACAGACTTCTTCCATGATGCCCACAAAGTGCTGCAAGGCTTTTTTATTGGAAGTGTATCCAGGTTTGGGGATCAGTAAGATCTAGGATTCTGGGAGTGATTGGGTCACCTTGGACTCTGCTCTATCCTGTTGGTTGTTGGTGGCACTGTTATCTAGGTAACATCTTCTGTGGATTTGTTCCTCTTAGTATCCACCTCTCACTAGAGAAAGGAAACTGAAGGCCTGGGTGCTTCACTGGACAGAGATGCAAGTTGTGAGTGCTTGCCCAGGCAGGGTGGGAAATGCAACATAGCAATCAGATATCCTCAAAACTGAGTGGTACGAAGAAATGTTCTCTGAGAGGTGAGGTGAGCTCCTGTTGGGATGACAGTGACACAAGGACTGACCACATAATAAGTGACACAGGTCACTGGAAAGCCAGGGGATGCAAAGTAAAACCACCATTTGGCTTTTGTGCATACCTGCTAGAAAACCCGCAGGTGACAGCAACATAATTTGAGCAACAAGCAACTTTCTGAGCAAACTTGGAGGTTTGTTGTATTTGTTTAAGATGAAGGTTTCTCTCATTAATGCATGGTAATTCACAGCTATAGATACGTCCTAAAAGATGTTAAACTGTAGATCTTATGTTCTGCTGATAGAAACCAGGTGTGGGGTTATGCTGAGGATTTGTCACAAGCCGATCATAGTTTATACTTTATCTGCTACAGGTTTAGGTCTGATTCCTGAAATTGTTGTTTGTGCATGTGATCCTTTCTCTCCCCAAGGCCTCATTAAACGTATAGTTTAGTAAATTGCTTTATGTTTTTAATACAGTTGACTGACCCCTAGTGCCTAATGGAATTTTTTGTAACAGAAGTGCTAGAGCTGCAGTGGAATGATGGATAGCATCAAACTGCTTGAGAGAGATGCATCAAATGTGAAGTCAAAATGTGCACATATATGAGGGACAAATAGCCTCTACTGATATAAATAGTTCCCTGTTGCCATATGAGTTAGTAAGTCACAAGAGCATTAATCAATAGGTTTATTCCAGGAAGATTTCTAGGGCTGAGGGACAATATGATCATCAGCAGAAGGATATCGGTGCTGCCAGAAACAAAGCTGCAAACTGCAAAGGAATTTAAGAAAATGCATTCAGTGATGTATTTGTAATAGTTTTACATATTTGTAACACTGGAATGAATTAATTATATTCCCAGAGCTTACAATATAAGGAAATCTGAGAAGATAATATTTTCCACCGATGATAATAAATGTGATCTATATTAAGTAGTTAAAAAATACTCGAGCCAAAATTCCATAAAAACTGGCAAGTCACGTTTGGGCAGTTTTTCTTGAAAACTGTCAAGCATGTGAGCTAAAGGAGTGTTGCTGGAAATCTATACGTCTCGCTATACCTCTAACGCTGCTGGAAAGAGCCACAAGGTTTTATTCTGGTTTATGCAAAAATGTGTAAAATGACAACATGCTATGGAGAACTAAAATCATGCCGTGCCCTCCTTTCCCCACCATGTTGCTCAATGCGGCTCCCTTTGCTCGAGTGCCATCATCCAGCTGCCTCGCACTGGGTGCAGGAGGTCTGACCGCTTTGTGCGGGGCTGGGGTTCTGCTGGCAGCATCGCTCTGCTTGCCTCCAGTCTGCACCACCACCACCTGGTGCCCGGGATGTACTTCAATGCATCTGTCAGTGCTTTCAGGGCAAGGGAGGCAGAGTCGTTCCTTTCTGACTCCTGTGGCAGCTTGTAATATTTCCAGAACAAGGTGACTTTTTTTTTTTTTCCCATTGAGAAGGGAAACTTTCAAAATCTTTTGTGTCTTTGCATGTATTAATAAAAATGTCTAAATATGCTAAGTGCGTTTAGAGCTGTATGCGTGTAAAATAAATATTTCTCCAAGTATATATAGTTGGAGATTAGACTGATGCCAAATCAGACTTGCCCACTTTAAATCCCAGATTGCCCTGTCCCTTTTCAGCCAGCAGGCACATATCAGAGTCAGCTGCAGAGATAAGTCACCTTCACCGAGGCAGGGTGATTACAACCTGCTGATCTGAACTCCCCCAGACTCTCTCAGTATTTTTGATCCAGATCTAAGCTTGGTGGCACAAGCGTGTTTCTAGCACTAGTGCAGATAGCTGAAACACTACAGCAGTCACAGCTGAGCGCTAGAAAATGGAAGAAGCAAGTCAGTCACATGGGGGAGATGAAAGCCAACACTAAGTGCTGTGATTATTCTGTCAAAATGGCTGCTATGAACGTGTCTTTAAAAAAGAATCCTTAGCTAAACAATACCATCAGGTGATATTAACTGGTGTCACCTTCTAATCTGGGCTTGTGAACTGGCTGACTTGTGAATACTTTGCAGCAAACTGTTAGGAGAGGGGCAGCAGTTCTTGCCGAGCTGGAGGCCCACCAACGTGCAATGCAGACGTGCTGGAGAGGGGCTAACAGCCACAAATGCCTTGTCACACAACCTGCTGGTACCACCCTGGGAACTGTTGCCTGTGCTCCGACAAAGGGCTGGGACAAAGTGACAGAGTGAGTGATGTAAGAAGGTATCTGGTGATTCCAGCTAGTGGTTCACTTAAAAACTTGGTTAGAAACTGTGATAAAGTTTTGGGACCTCAACTTGGGGGTCATTTCTGCATTGTTGCTTGATATAGTCATGTGAAAGTTGACTTCTGCAGCATTTGTTTTGTTTGAACTTCACTGTCAATGTAAGAGGCAAAGCTATGCTTGGGCTGACTTGAAACTCAGCATTCGTGGCCCAGCCATTTAGAGCTGCTACAACCCCAAAAAGCCCGGTTCTTTTATTTGTGTGGTAGGTGGATGAAACTCACGGTCTTGATGCAGTGGTTGCATGTGCATCTGCTACAAGAAGCTCTTTATCATGTATTTCTCCAACAGCCAGGTTTTGTGGAGCTCCCTCAGTGGGAAGAACATAGCTCTGTGTTTTCAATGATACTAACTATTCAAAGAATTCAAGAACAGGAGAAAAAGGAGAGATTTTTGTCACATAACTGATTAGTTTTTGTTTGTTTGTTTGTTTGTTTTCCATGAAAGCATCAACGTTAAACCCCAAAAAAGTCCCTTTAAAATGTCAAGATGATGTAAGATACCTGCATCCCACCCTTCTTGGGTGTTCTTGGCTCCACTGTCCTTGACCTGAGTAATTTCAATACTATTTGTTTTGAGTAATTTTGGTTTTGCTGCTGCGTGTCCTTGTGAATAAGAAACAGTGTTTCCATTGGCAGCAGTTAGTCCTCCATCCACCCATGTCTAAAGCATGATAAAAGCACAGAATGAACTCCCAGACTCTGACCTTTAAAGCACCTGTGTGTTTCCTCATACGAGCAACATTTCATCCTTTAAATGCTCAGCATCCGTGCTAATGGAAGAGGTTGGCAGTCGTAAGATTTGAGTCCAGGTTTTGAAGATACCTTGAAGGATTTGGAGGTTTGGTGATGGCACTTACAAATCCAGATCTAACTTCTGTAACTTGAGATCTGACTGGATGAAGTCACTGGGACCTCTGCCTGTGCCTATTTGGGTGTTACGATTTCATGCTCATAATTTCCTGGGGCTGAGATTCAGACTTTCTAGCTGAACCAACTTTAAAGAGGAAGAAGCAGGTTGCTAATAAGGCTAGCTCTCCAGGGATCTTTTTTTTTCTTTGCGTATTCACATTTCTGGGAACTCCACACTGCACAACCAAAGGTCTTTTCAGGTTTAAAAAAGCAAGAAGGATTCTTGCAAGTTTATGGGAGGCATCTTTTTGGCCTCTGTGTGCTCTTGGCTGTAATCTTGAAACCTATTGGGAAATGAGAGAGAATGTGGCCTTCTGCACAGTACCACAGTGCCTGCTGGTTTTATACTTATATAATTTGAAATGCTTTAAGCAATTTCTGTTTAAGAAGAATCAATCTTCCAAGAAGTGTGTCTGCTCCCAACAGGAGGACTGCAGTTCCCATAAACTTCTCCAAAGCTTGAAGGAGGTTCCTTGCTGGATCTGTAAGCACACCTTGTCAAGTTTAGAGCTATGAGAAGTATCTGTGCTGGGTTCGGATTTCATGACCTTTTGTTCCTTGCAAAGCCTATAATCCCCTTTACTCTTCACTGAAATGTTGAATGACTAGATTCATAACGTTACTGGTGTCGGTGGCTGCAAAAGGTAGAAGCTGTCACTTACTAGGAGTGTTAATGGATGTGTTGGATGACTTTGTGGGATGCCTAGCTTATT